AAATTGTGACCATCGACGAAACAGACACCATCATTCACGACTACAGCTACAACCAGGACGGTTTCTTTGATGTGAGAGTGACAGCTATGAACCGCGTCTCCTTTCAAGAGATGGAAACCAGGGTCAAGAGCGGTTGGCCATGCATGAGACCTTTCGTCCAGATCATAGGAGAATATCGTGACATTCGATTTCCGAGAGTTGAAACGAAATCATCAAGAATACGTCTGGGGAGCAATGTCGAAATAGATTGTAGGACAAAGTCGGTGAACATTACATGGTCCATTCACAAGGTTATTTTGATAGAAGGGGAGGAACTAACAAACGAGACTGGTTTCACTCTTCACCATTATCCATTGGAGCATATTTCAGAAGCTACAGGTACTGAAATCGTCATTCCTCCCTTGAATCTCGATGTCGGGCTGTACAAACTGGAAATAACCGTCGCTATGCCGGGGTTTGAAGGCCTGGAGAATGGTGACTCCATGTACCTGTCGGTTGTGAAGTCCAAGCTCGTTGTCGGGATCAAAGGAGGTGCCAGTCGCCCCATTGGGTACGGATTGCCGATGCTGCTAGACGCAGTAGACCTGTCATATGACCCGGACGATCCACACAACAAGACAGGTAGGCCATTACAGTCGACGTCTGTTTGAATAGGTCTAGTCTCGCAAGATCTTGTGAGATTGTGAGAGATTTGCGTCTAGTTTCTACCTAAGAATAGATCTGTTAAAAGAATGAATGAATGAATGAACTTTATTGCTCGACAATCGTACATGGTACAATGTGTGGCAGTAATACAACAATACTACAAAACTAAACTATCTTATTACATTTCTTACTACAAACTACTATCTATATTTTAATGTCTTGGGGTGGTGGGACTACGGCGCACATGTCAACTTTGTATATTTAAATGTTAATTGTACCTTTTTTGTGTGTGGCGCTGTTAATATAAGTTGTTAACTTGAGTGCAGCGTCACACTGTCCTTGTTATGTCTGTATGTTTTGATGAATTAAAAAAAAAAAACTACTATCTATACAGTATATGAGTCACAATGTGTTCATGAATTGATGATTTGGTCTCGCTTATGAAATAAGGTGTACAGAAATTGACCTACGTAAGCAGATATGGTAGTAGGACATGACAATAATTCATAGAATGTATCGTACTGTGTACTAGATTGGGTGAACTTAGTGGTAATAGTCTGTAACAATGAATCTCTTTCTTTTCTATAGGTGGGACATGTCATAACAAAGTGAAATTCATCTTCAATATTCTCATTACATGTGGGACATGTGCTTTTAACAGTGCATGCGTGCTTTGACTAACATATACAAAGAATATTCGTAGGAAGCATAAAAGTAGCGATATTTATTATATCTTAAAGTTTATCCTTTTTTTAATCTTACAGGGCTTTTATTTTCTTGGCTCTGCCGAAGAAGCGATGAGAGTTTGCCAAGAAGCTGTTCGAACAATATTACCCTGTCTGCTGAAGCCACAAATGATACCCGCAACAGTAGTGAAGGATGTTTTGGGACAGGACACGTACTGGAAAAGTTCTCCGATGGAAACTTTACTGCGTATAACACCAGCGTGTTACGGGTATGTGACTAATTACAACTTGTTTCTTTCTCTATGTTGCCTTGTCTTTGCATTTGAGGTTAAAAAGTCAGACAGAGCAAATGGGGGGGTCAAAATACTTACTGAAAGCCTGAAATCTCCGATTTGTTATTGCAACATGCTAAGCACTACGATTTCGATGTAGTCACCATGTTGGTTACAGTGTGCTGTATAATAAAAATCCATTTCTACTATTTCACTTAAGGTAAATCAGACGTACATCTTCCGAGTGGAGATGAGGAAGGACGACCGGTGCGTGACCTCCGAACAGTCCATTCTTATCGTCGAAGGGGATCCGCCGGATGTAGAAATAAAGTAAGGACACAATTTTGTACTAAACGAAAGTATTGGTTGCGCTGAGCCTATAACTACCACAGTGGGACCTGAATACCGAAAGCCAATAGCTGTAAGGATATGATATACCAAAAGAAGTCGTGGTTGAGAAAAAGTAATGCTTTATTCACTTGGTCTGACGTTTGTTTTATTGAAATTCATGTAATGTCATCAAAATGTATATAATTTCTGTGGGGTCAATATTGGAGAATAAACAATATCGATGAAATATGTACACCGATACTTTAACTAAGGTACGGGCTTCACAACATTTCTATATTTTAATATAATAAAATAAAATATCAGTCACATGGTGGTCGCTTTTAATAGTTAATTCTGGTTCCACCATTTTGAGGGTCAAGAACTAGCACTAGCCTCCTCCATCTTTCTGTCCTCTTTGTACAGTCTGAGTGTACAATGGCATGAGTGTGTAAAGTATGTCTTGTTTGGTACTTACAACAGGTGTGTTGACGGCTGCTCATACAAGACCAACCCTTCTGCACGCCTGTCTCTAACCGGAAGATGCTCCTTTTGCAAAACATTTAACCGCATAGAGTACACGTGGACTGTTGCCAAAGTCGAAGGTCAAAGGCATCAACCGTTGTCAAAATCACAGATGTCTACATATCAAGGTATGTTGGGATTTCTGGTCTTTTTCGTTGTTCATGTAGTTTTCACAGTAAGGGTAACAAGACTAAATTAGGCAACTAAACTACTAACATACTAGACTAAATTAGAATAGACTAATAGACTGAAACGACACTACACTACGCTTAATTAGACTAAAGCCTTCACAACTATCTGTTACGATGCACCAATTATGTTTTTTGTAGATTTGAGAAGAAACAAGTGCAGTAACTGATGTTCAGTTTTTAAACTAGCAATGCAGGTAACTAGAACTACATTCTAAACATATTTTTGCTTTTGTTCATACAGCAAATACCGCCAGATCGTCCCTTTTCACGATTGAAGCGGGAAGCCTTGAAAGTGGTTTCCACTACAATGTTCGCCTGACGTTAAAACAGTACGGCTACGCTGCAGGGTTCACCGAGTACACGTTCGTCACCAACTGTCCACCAACGGGAGGGCACTGTGACATCACACCGACATTTGGTAAGAAAAGACGACAACTTAGGATTTCACTTATTACCAAATAATCTTCAAGTAGAGTTTTTGGTGGCAAAATGGCCAGACAGTGCGCAGCCGCTATTGAACGATCTTGTCGCTTACAGTTTATTATCATAGAAGTTAATGTGTTTGTATAATTTTTTTTTGGGGGGGAGTTACGTTTGGGGTGCAACTTACGAAACATTTACACTGCATCCTATTCCTGTTCCATATTTGCTGATAAATATTTTCAATTTGTGCTTTGTCATCTTGCATATTAGTCAGTTTGTGTGAAAAGAAACCATATTTCTGCTGGTAGGACAAGGCATTATAGCAGAGACAAACATAAACTATGAGACCACGTATGTTGTTTTGAAGTAATAATATGAGTGTTTTCTGTTTTACTAGGATACGCCCTTGAGACAGAGTTCCAGGTCACCTGTGCCGGATGGTGGGACGAGGGCGACTATCTGAACTATGACGAGGCAAACGCGAACAACTACCAGTCCAGGAAGCTGAAGTACAGGTTTGTTTGTTTGCGTTGCATAACCGGTAAATCGCCAAGGGCACAACGTACATTGGGGTCTGCTAGAGTTGTAAACCCAGAACCTTTAGATTCTAAGTCAACAACCCACGAGACCATACCTTGCCACCGCCAGGTTCTGGTCCACATAACCAGTTAACACATCAGTTTCAAGTTTAAATGTACAGTAAGTACAAGTACAAACTGCGTAAGATCGGAATGTAAGGTTTGATTCGATCATACCTGGATGGACCCATACTTTTGCCGAAAAGTGTGGTTGGATCTTAAACGTGCTCTAAGTGTGTCTTGACTTAAACACAGGCCCTACAGTACGCCCCATGCCATACAAGAGGACGCCCCTAACTGAAGCTAGGTACTCATTTTTAGTTGAATGAGAAAATAGGTGTAAAATGCCTTCCCCATGGCACAAAATTGGGGCCTGCCAGGGATTTGAAGCCAGAAAATTTAGATTCTAAGTCAACAATCCTAACCACGAGATCTCATTTCCACCACTAGGTTCTGGACCAGACGATTGGGTTCAGGTCAACAGTCACTCATCAAGTTTGGAGAGGAACCTTTCACGCCCAAGCTGACACTGCCACTGGGACCTGCTGCATATAACCACACATTAGAGATCAGTGTTCAGATTGTGGACACACTGGGGGAGTATGCCCTAGTCAATATGACAATACAGGTACCAACACCTACATGTACATCAATCTACAATACATTGGATATTGATAGTGATAATGATAGTCTTTGTGATCTTGTATGCCTTTAAAATGTTATTTTGCTTCCGCTATTATATTTTCTTACAGGCAGTATTAAGGGATTGGGGGGGGGGGTTTCGTGTGACTAAGCTGTGGGTTTGTGTGCATGATTGTCCTGCCAGTGTACATGTAGGTCAAAGTTGAGGGGGGATCGGCAGAAAAAATGACAGCTCAAAAGGCCAGACACAGGAAATGGGGGTAAAGTTGAAAGTTACAAATCAAACTCAAAATTCTCGATTGAGTTCTTGTTACTTTGGTACGTGCTGTCCAATAATATAATAAATTGATCGTAAAAAACCTCGTTCTGCTAACGTATTTGTATAACTTAAACCTATTCATTACAAGTTATTGTGACAAATACAAATGTAAAGCAATTGTTTTTCTGAAATGTATAAATTACGAATTCTCAGGTCGTGGAATACCCAGAAACGGACACTGAAAACAAACTACTGGAAATGACCAACCCTGACAAGTTGTCCATGCTTGTACTGGGGGGCAAGCAGCAGAGTATCGGCCAGATTGGGACAATTGTGGCCGACACTATCAACGTATGTATTCTGATTTGTCTGTCTAGGTGTCTAAAATAAAATTGTCTACAAATAGAGAATTCAACATGTTCTGAATTGTGTAGAAATTCTGTTTTTCTTTGATGAAGTCGATTCATTTCTTTCAGGAGGAGGTAGAAACGGACAACGACGAAGAACAAGCTGAACAGAAGAAGAAACGGCATGAACAGGTAATGTTTTGGTACACGAAATTATAACAATTTATAGCTTTGACGTAATTTAGCTTGTTAACTGTAAGTATAGTACGTGCTCTGCATTTTCTAACTTGTGGCTTATTATTGGTAAATGTAGATCAGTAACGATTTAACACTGCATAGCACCATAGTATTGTATAATATTGATTGTCTAGGTGCACGTAATGTGACATGTATTTCTCTGTATCCGATCACAACGATGAAGCAGTCATATGTTGACTTACGTTACCTTTAGATGAGGTCCAGTGTGGTGTCTGCGCTGTACCAGACTGCAGGGTCCGTCACCAGTGTTGAAGCCGTACAACAATCGTGCATCACCATGAAAGCTATCACAGAAAAATCGTCTGAAGTATCTCCTGACACCCAGGTTTGTTCTGTTTTCTGCTTAAGAGAATTCTGTCTTTGAAAAACCAGAAAAACAAAAAAAATTTACTTTCCGAAAGTATTCTGGGTTGTTGTGATCTTCAAGTTCACAGGCATCTAGGAAGTGTTTATGGGTTTTGTGAAAGACCTGGAGGGGATTCTATGATGTAATTTAATCGGGTATTACATAATTGTACAATTAATTTAACTGTACACCGCTTCCTATTTTTTTCCAACCGTGCGTGCTGGGAGACCATCTGAATCAGTAGTCACCTTCCTATCATCTATCAAAATCACCTCCCACCCACCAGGCAACTGACAGACGAACCCGTTCAGCCACCCAAAGCAATACTTCCGTAACAGGAAGAAATTGCTACTTGCTTTCTTCAAATCAGATGATATGCATCACCATACTGACACTGTTATTGTATCATGTTTAAATGTGTCCTTCAGGTCACAGCAGCCTCGGCTGTGGAGAATATGGCGGAAAAACTTCAGGGAATTGACATGTCTGAGGAACTCTCTGAGAACATTGAAAGTACAGCAACAGGTATCGGACATCATACATTACCCTCTTCTCATTCTTCTTAGCATTACAATTCCTGCTGTGTTTGGGAACCGAAATAATTTTATGTCATATTCAGTTACACTACGTCGCAGTCTAATGAACTATATGAAATATTGAATCGATTTTATAAAATAAATCATAAACTTACATAAAAACAACCTGCATTTGCTTGACATACGTAGGTACTACATAATCTCACAGACTGGAATACTACTTTATGCTTTTGGGATTCATGTAGTTAGATGTGTTGCGACCGGTAATGTTGTTAGTAGTCCATATACATCGGGCCTCTAGTAGACCTCCCACTGGTTAGGCTCTAGAGGAGGAGGTCCAGTTAACTCCTGGTAGTGAGAGATTTTGTAGCACAGGCTATGCTGTAAGAACCTGATAGAATATGTATTTGAAAGTCTGCGATTCTGTTGCAGAACTTGTGTCCAGTCTTAGCAACATCCTGGTTGCCACGGACACCACGGTACAGGAGAAGATCAAAGTTCCCGGCTCAGAAGGAGCGCTGGACGTGATGTCGTTAAGCCCAGAGGAAGCTGAGCAGAGAGAACGGGATCTACAGGCAGCTGAAGAAACACAACATGACGACGAAACGTTGGCAAAGGACACAGTAAGACTGATTTTTGGAATGATGGTAGAAATGATATGACAAGTTATATTCTCTAGACTATACCGTAAAATATGCCATAGTATGATATCTCTCTATTATCATACTGCACCCGTGTATCACTCGTTAAAACCGTAACAACCTGAAATTTACGATTTCAGACTTTCTGGAGGTATTACAAAGCAGTCCTCGGCTTCCTGAATTTCCCCATGACCACCATATTCTTGCTGGCTCCCTACCAGGTTCTGAGACCTTTACGCTCACTTCATTTCCTCTGTCTGCTCTATAATACATTTTCGTATGTCCCTAGGCAAGACAAGTCTCAACAAAAACATTCAAAGCTGCGACAGCGATATCAGGCTTAGTGATGAAGACAAAGACTATCGGATCTCCGGCAATGGTCATTGACTCACCGAAGCTGTCAATGGTGCTGGAAAGGTCGGAGCCTACTGCCCTAGCGGGTAAAGCTGTAACTGCACGTGGAGGATCCTTCAACATCCCTCCAGCCATCTCAGCCAAACTGGGCGAGGGCTCTGGTCCGGTTGATATGAAGGTAAGTCTTTATACAATCTTCCTGCACAAGTAATTTGAAACTAGTCCAGGTATACTAAAAGTAGTTGTAGTGCTTGCTACTGTCAGAATGGTATGCATTGAATACTACACAGACCAGAGTAATTATTTTCATCATCTAAGCTTTGTTCGTTGCAGAATCAAATGCCTATATTTACCACTTATGCAGACCATGTAATTGAAAAAAATCGTTCATACATGTTTTGAGAAGAAAGGAGAGACTTTATAATAGAGGAAATATAGCATGTTTGGGTTCCTAAAGATGGGGTGGGGATTGGGTTTTTATTGATTGGCAGGGTTTCACCTCGGCATGCCCTGAGTTCATGGATATCGTCATTGGGATGCGCATGATGTAATAGCCCAGTAAGCTTCGTCATCGCCAGAGTAATGATGCATCCTACAAATTACAAACTACAAAGTATCCCTATAACAGTATAATCTATGATTTTCTTCTAACAATTATGTTTACTGAAACACACAGGTCATGTCCTTGCCGACTAATCCATTTATCTGGGATGAGAGTGCCAGTTCTATCAACAGCCCCGTGGTGTCTCTAGCATTCCAAGGCTCGGATGGGAATGAACTGGCTATCAATAATATGGACGAACCTTTTGAGATAAGGATTAATAACAGTCCAGAAAAGGTACGAATAAATTTCTTATATTCTAATTTTTTTATTATTATTTGATAATCTGCAAGAGCGGAATTTTGAATGACAATAATATGTATTCTATTGGTTGATGAGGTAAATGGTCAAAGTGTATTTCGAATTTTGACATGTGGAATTTTTTCCAAAACGTTGTGGTAACAATACAGATGTATCAGGACATCTTGCAGTGATACGTGTACTGATCATGAAGTTTACAAAAGTAGCATTGATCCAGCTGAGAAAAACTAAAGCTTTACCCTTCCCACGCCATAGGTTCCCAAACCAAAAAGGTTCGACCCACCAAATCCACCAGATGATTCGGAAGAGGAAAACTTTTACTACGACTACAGTCCAGAAGTGGACATGGACTACGCCTTTCACGTCATAGACGTGCCCAGAAGTAACAACGCTATTAGAGCTGTCATTCGCCCTGGAGATCCAAGTAAGTAGTTTATTTTACTTTACTTCATTGGTGCTGCAGCTCACACACTCTACCTAGAGGTTCTCCAAAAGCTCAGATGGGATAGTCTAGCGACCAGGCGAGACTACCATTGGTTAGTTACCATCTACATATATAAATTTGCCAAATGGTCCTGTTCCACCCCATCTCCAGACACTGACAACGATTTCAGCACCAAGGACAGAGGTAAGAACTTATTGTGACAAACGATTTCAGCACCAAGGACAGAGGTAAGAACTTATTGTGACAAACGATTTCAGCACCAAGGACAGAGGTAAGAACTTATTGTGACAAACGATTTCAGCACCAAGGACAGAGGTAACAACTCATTGTGACAAACGATTTCAGCACCAAGGACAAAGACAGTTGTCTTTTGTCCCAATTGATTGCGGTTGCATGGTGGGTGGGAGGTGATTTTGACAGGTGATTGTCCCGGGTGGAAGTAAGTGTGTGGTCTGCGGAGGAATTACATTCACAAAAGCCCAAAACACGTTGATTTCTTGTTTTGTTATGTACAGAAATGTTGCTGATGGCGTATCTGAGAGTAGGAGACTATCCAAGCTCAAGTGACTTTAACGTAAGCGGCATCATTCCGCGCGAGATCAACATGAACGGGACTTTCACACGGGAAGAACTGGACGAGATACGGCACTCGGTGATGGTGCCTGAGGAGATTGTATACACCAACATCAGCTGGTATCTTGCCATTCAAGAAATAGGTAAGTTCACAGAACAAAGCTTGTGCAGTTCTAATATTGCCTTTATTTGAGGGGCCAATTTTGAATACACCGATTCTCAGACACCTTTCAGTGAAAGATTATATGGATGCATGCCGAGATTGCAGAGATTGAACATGCAAATACAGTGAATACCGTAAATGGGAGCAGCGACGGTCACTTGATTATCTTAATGGACATCGCGAAGCCATGATACTCAAAATCTGAGGACAGCACAATACACGTAGTTGAGCCTAGGCTTAAGCTTAGCTAGATATGCAGTTTAATCCAAGAGAAGATGCAAAAAAGAAATTCTATCATTGACAAGGAATTCCTGCATAGATTTGAAAATGGCGAGAATTGATTATTGCTTTCACATGGAGAGTAATCAACAGTGCAACATGTTCTGTGCTCTGTGCATTATTAAAAGAGATTATGTCCGTATGTAGATCCTGAGAGCAAGACTACGCTAGGGGCGCCATCATCCAACTACACTCTACAGACTCTCATACTTGGATGCAAATTCTGGAGTGAAACTGAGGAGCGGTGGGCGGGAGATGGCTGTAAGGTAAGATCCTTTCAGTTTCCATTTTCCTCCATACTCTGCCTGGATGCCAGCCTTTTTAGTTTGTCACTCTCTTTGTTGTTTTCCTGCCAACAAGATTGGACATACGTGTAAGCCTTCTGTCATATGGATATTGTTCAAAATCTGAACAGACGAACTGATTGGTCAAACTGGACTGGTGTTATGGAGCAACCTATCAGCAGAGGCCTCTCCCAACGCGAAACTGTTGTTTGATTACCTCATTTAGTAATGTAATCATCAGGTTTGGCCAATCAGCGTGCTTGTTCAAATTCTGAACAAATATGTGCATCCACATTCCAGGGTCAGCGGACGACAGTGGGACTTTAGTTCCAACGTTATAAAATTGAATGTTTTGTTACAGGTTTCTGATAAGTCCACAGCCAACGTAACAGTTTGCGAATGTACCCATCTAACCTCATTCGGCTCCGAGCTCTTCACTCCGCCCAACACCATCGACTTCAAGACCGTTTTCAGCAAGAATATCGCGGAGAACGCGTACGTGTTAGGCACCGTCCTCGGTATCACTGCGCTGTATCTGATATGTGTCTACTTTGCTCGGAAGGGAGACAACAAAGACGTCGAGAAGGTAGGAACATATTTACACTGAATGGAATATGGCATTAAAACACAGGATTACCTCCGTCAACTGAAATGCTTTAATGTATGCTTAAATATTAGATACCATGCAGTGAATTGGTTGTACATTGCAGTATGGTATAGCTTTCACCATATCAATGCACTGTTGCGATGTCTGGTAACCTCCAAGCAGATGTAGAGTTTAGCTTAGTATTTCGCAACGTATGATTTAATACATTTTCTATTTATTTCTAGTGGTCCGCGTTATTATCTCTAAGAATCCCTCCTATCTCCACTTCAAAGATGTAGGAGATGCTTCAATAATACACGTGAAACACTGGACCGAGAACCTTAGATATTATCTTTTAGCTACGTGCATGTAGTAGTTTGTTGTCTAGTGTATTGTAGACGTCAAAATGGCCAGGAAGAATATTGAATGCAGCCGAATCAAAACACGTGTTTTTTTTTTCAACTCCTAGTGGAGCGTGTCCCAACTGTCGGACAACAGACTCATAGATAACCACTTCTATGAGATCACGGTACAGACAGGGATCGGCAAAACATCCGGGACCAAGTCTGAAGTCTTCTTCACTCTCTACGGCGAGGACGAGAATACTAGGACCAGAACGCTGAAGGCAAAGAACAAGGTACGGGGCATCTGTGATATGAGAAACGTCCCTGAGGTGTCGCCAAAAATGGTTATTTATTATCTCCATAATATGGAACATTTACACTGACGGATTATCACTTCCAGGTACAGAAGTATTGTTTTGGGTAGATTGTCTGTGTGTTTGTGTGTATGTGTGTTGCACCAGGATAGGTTGACAGCAGATGGGCGGGGAGATTGACAGACCGATCTTAAGTCCAGACACAGGAAATGGGATGGACTATAATAAATGCACACAGGCGGGGGAAGATTGGCAGTTAGAATGTCAATTCAAAAGGCCATACGATTTGTGTTGAATTGAATAAATTGATATTGTATACACAGTAAATTGGTTACACACAAAAACCTAAGATTCTTCCCAAAAGAATGAAATCTCTTATTTCTTTGTGAACTGCAGGAGTTAAGCAGTGGTAGTGTAAATAAGTTTCTGATGGCCGAGCACAAACACCTGGGCGCCCTGCAGTCCCTCCGTATCTGGCACAACAACAGCGGCAAGGGTGCAGAGGCGAGCTGGTACCTGGACAGGGTGCAGGTCCGGGATCTGGACACGGACAAGATGTAGGTTCAACATGGGTCTTCACTTTTTCCTTGCCCTCTTTAGGGTTTGATGCAAATGTGCATAGAACAACTCAACAGAAACATGTGCTAGCCTGACGTGTACATCTTTAAAATATCGTACTATTACTGGGTTCTTGTATGAACTAACAACGCCTCTTCATTGAATACTAAGTCATGAACATCACCACAATTATATAGTAACTGTTATGTGTGTGATAGTAACTGTTATGTGTGTGATAGTAACTGTTATGTGTGTGATAGTAACTGTTATGTGTGTGATAGTAACTGTTATGTGTGTGATAGTAATTGTTATGTGTGTGATAGTAACTGTTATGTGTGTGATAGTAACTGTTATGTGTGTGATAGTAACTGTTATGTGTGTGATAGTAACTGTTATGTGTGTGATAGTAACTGTTATGTGTGTGATAGTAACTGTTATGTGTGTGATAGTAACTTGTTATGTGTGTATACCTCTCAGGTACTACTTCCTGTGCGACAAGTGGCTGGCTGTGAATGAAGATGACGGAGAGGTCTGCCGTACACTGCCTGTCGCCACGGAGGAGGACATGAAACAGTTCAACACTATCTTCTTTTCCGCCGTGAGTTCTACAAAATTTCATAAGACCTTAATCTAATAGAATGTTTCTTCCATAGGTGATGGCGCGGAAGTATTGTTTTGGGTGTCTGTGCTTTGTGTTTGTGTATCTGTGTGTTCAGACAGAGCGGGATGGCTGCATGTGAGTGGGAGAAGGTTGACAGGTCAAATGTCTGTCTGGGAGCAAGTAGGATTTAGAGATTGAAATGGGGAAATTCAGGAAGCCGAGGATATCATGTTTTTCGAAAGTCGATTTCTTGTTAAATCCATTTTTGCTTAAAGAACATTAGCAAAATAGTGAGTTACCAGTCATGTAAAGATACCTGCGGTTGTTGATTTAATAAACCCAACAGAAGATAGATAAAACGAATTAAAAAGAACTTGAGATGCACTTGTTAGACTCTTCAGTCAACGTACGTGCATGTTGAGGTTACTTTTCTTAAACTACAGGTGAAGAAAGACTTCAACGACGGTCACCTGTGGTTCTCTGTGTTCTCCCGTCCGACCAGAAGTAACTTCACCCGGGTTCAGCGTGTCACGTGCTGCCTGTCTCTCCTCTTCTGCACCATGGTGTCAAACGCCATGTGGTATGTGAACACGTTAATTTTGTCTTCCGACGTTGGTAGCGTTCAACAGATAGTCTTTTTCGGGTTTGTGGAAAGTGCGGTCCGGTGTGAAATGTGGAAAAGGCGGTCGGCCCGGGACATATGGGAACACATCAGTGCCGTAAGTTTTAAATCTCCAGAATGTCGTTTACCGTTACAGATTAACTTTCATTCTGTATAAATGCAGGTATGATACAGAGAAGAAGGTACGGACTGTCCACGCCCTCACCATAGGTCCCATCACCCTCACCTGGCACCAACTGTACGTCAGCTTCATGAGTAGTATCCTCATCTTTCCTGTCAACATCGGGCTCGTTACACTCTTCAGGTAGTAAAATATGTATTTGTTGTTTCCATCATCGCTCTCAGTTTAAGCATCCTTTTACATAGATGTCAAGATTGTTAAATGCAATGCACCTACTTCCTGGTAAAAACATATGTAACTATTATAGAAATTCCTGAGGAATACATAGAATTCTTGTTAACAACTAGAACTGGTTACATTCTATACTATTAGGTTTGCGAAAAAGGATCATAAAGATGATAAATGAATGAATAAATAAATAAAAAAAGTAAAATAAAAATGACAGTAAAAATTGCATCGTGGTATATTTTATACTATGCTTTATTGAATTTCCAAAAGGCGCATACGGGAAAAGGAATCACCCATCCTTGAGGTTGATGGTGGCGAGGACTCTGCTGAGACGGTGGAAAAGGGCAATTGTAAAGACCACCAAGAGGAGCAGAGCAAGAAAAAGAAGAAGAAGAAGCTTTTCATGTTTCCTCATTGGATGGTGTACGTGGCGTGGATCATCGCCTTCCTGGTGACCTTCACGTCAGCGTTCTTCAGCGTACTGTACAGTCTGGACTGGGGCGCCAAGAAGTCCATAGCGTGGCTGACGTCCATGCTGATGTCATTCACCATGTCTGTGTTTGTAGTGGATCCAATCAAGGTCAGATTTATGAACATTGATGAAGATATAAGAAAAGTTAGGGATTCCAAATGTTTCCTTGTATACCAGTATATTAGGCCTTGTTCTTATTTCTTTTAGGAGCGGGGGTATTGTTTTGGGTGGCTGAGTTGTGGGTGTGGGTTTGCGTCTATTCTTGGTTAAATACTAACGCGTATTAGTTCCTATTGTATGGTGGGTGGGAGGAAATTCTGAGAGTTGATGGGATGTGTCAAGCCTGCAGTTGATCCAGCACGCGCTGGGTTAGGGTAAGTGACTGGGTAGTATAGTATGTGGAGGAATTCAGGAAGTATATTACATCATATAGCCCCCTCGTTTTGCAGGTCGTTTTCTTGGCCGCGGTTTTGTCACTGCTGATCCGGAAACCGAGCTCGGATGAAGAAGACAACTCGGATGACGAGGAAATCCAAAACAAACTACAAGATGACGAAGACTGGGTGAACGAAATGCCCTCGGACGACGACGATGGTACGATGATTTTACTTATTTTACGACATAAGTATCGTTTTCCAATATTTTTTGCTGCTTCTTTGTACGGTTTACAGTACAGCACAAAAACTCGTGCTCGCGTGGATGTCATCCATATTATTAAATCAAATGACTTAAGTCTAGTACATTCTTTAGAAATGTTTAATACCGATAAACAAACAAACAAACAAACAATAAAAAAGTAAACGTTATTTCCAATGCAGAACCTGAAGACAAGCTCGGCGTGCCTGACCCTACGCGTCTGGCTGAAGCTAAGGAGAAGATGCAGAAAAAAGCGGTGATGTCTGACCTCATCCGGGAGATCGCGCGGTACGGGCTGCTCGTGCTGGTCCTCATGCTCATCGCCTACAACAACAAAGATCCCAGCTCCTACAACATGGTCAAAACGTTCAGGGATAACTTTGTTCACGTGGAGCTGCCTCTAGAAAACGTATGTTTGATATAACATTATATGAAATATTATGTACATATGTATCTGACATTCCATTTGTATAGACCGTCTAAAAATCGCGACCATAGTATGTCCAAAACACGAGATACGAAAGTCAGGGGTTCTGTTTCAGTACCAAGGAAAGCGACCAGGGACCAAATCTAACCAATTTTTCATTGTTCAAATTCTAAATTTCATAACAGTCCATAGATAGCTTTGCTTCGTTATTTGGTTCCACCTGAAACATTGTTACAAACACTAACGAAAACAAACTTTATTGCACAACAAAATTGTTAAAGCCATAAAAGGTTCAACATATAGCATCTACTACTATATAGCAACAAACATACTATGAGAATTATTCACCTTAAAATTGTACAATCAAAATATGCAATATAACCTTGTTGAAGCTTTATTGCATGTTGTGGAACGTAGATCAGATGCGATGTCGCGTTCCAAAACGTGCTCGCATTGTGACATACATTTCACTTCTTAGTACACCAAATCATGTTTTGGAATGGAACACGTTTTGGAATGCAAATGCATTGCCACCATGCAAACGCAACAGATCCCGTTCTGAACAACTTGTCATCCTACAACTAGGTACGGACGGGCCATGACTTCTGGACCTGGGTGAATGACACGTTGATACCGGGACTGTACACAGGGTCCTGGTACAATGGTAAGCCGACCTCGTTACTGGAGCAGCAGTTCCTGGCAGACAAGTTGTCGTTCCGGGTGGGACCGGCAAGAATGAGACAACTTCGGGTACCGCCTTCGGGTGAGTATATTGATAGTTACAATCCATGTTCCCTATTCCATACACCTCGGTAATACAGACACATTCATATTTCTAATTAGTCTAGCCATACATAGTCTCTACGCTGATTAACTACGCTGGCTATATATAGGAAAATATTTACCAGGGGAGCTATGCCGCCTTAGGGTTTGACTGACCGCGCAGTTAGGAAAGAAACAACCTTCCGCGGACTGACTCGCCTGGCCAATTTTACTCTCCTTTTTGCCGAATTCTACGATCCGTATTCCCGGCCTTAGAAAGGCCTGGTGGAGGCTAGGATATACCTGTCCTTCCACCATCACAACAAGAGGCCGAAATCACCTAGTAGATGATAGTACTCTTCATAGCTAGGCAATTTGGTCTTAAACTGAATTACTTGTATCACCCCATGCAGATGAAACTATCCACTGACCCCAGGAATCTTTCCTTATGGCTTGTTAAAGCTCTTATGTTGTTCTGTTCCAGAATCATGTACAATAAATGTAGACGTGGTAGGACTTGTGGAAGGATGTACTGATGAATATTCAATGGAACTGGAAGACCAGATGGCCTACCTACCGGGATGGAAATATCACCCGAACGCCTCAGTCTTAACAGGTCAGACACCCTGTGTATATTTACGTACGAGTGTGAATTTTGTTGTGCAATACCTCTTACGACCACAAGAGGGCTAGTGCTGCCTGGTCTCATCACACAGGTGGTCATGGGGAGGAGGACGTATTTTCTGCGCAAAGTATACTGGCCATGGGTACGTCTGTTTAGTGTTTGAGCTTGTCACTGTTAACTGGCATATCAAAACAGCAGACTTTTCAAAAGGCTTCTACAATTTCCCGTACTTACAATAAGGTTTTCTATGAAAATTTTGGATGGCCCTGGGTATGTACATCTTTCCCAGTTTCAAAGTCAATGATATTACAAGACATGAGTGATTTCTCATTTTGTTATCTTTACAGACGATCTTCGGTGGGTGTACCAATCTTCTGCCGACCTTGGAGTGGATTCAACTTCGGGTCGCCTTGCAACCTACAGGTATTTTTATGCATGGAAAAGTTGATTTTGCTGTTTGAATAAATCCTAATGGTACGTCCCACATTTTGTGGAGTGAACCCTGCGTGCATGTGTAACTTCAGGTGTTATTTCAGCAATACACAAAATTATCTTGCGACATCGCGTCCCAGGTAAATGTGACAGGTACGTCTATGAATAGTTGCCTAAGTTACATGTCAGGTAAGTCTGATAATGCCAAAATGCCAAAAGGAGCCATTTCCACACTTACCTTGCATTTATCGCCATTGGTAAAATTACTTTTCATGAAATGAATGTTCTTTTGTCCTTGTGCGCCATACAGTGGCGGTGGATACGAAGCTAACTTCGGAACCTCCAACCTAAGAGCCAAGCGAGTTTCCGGCTACCTCCAGTCCCACGGCTGGATAGACAGGTTAACCCGCGCTATCATCATAGAGTTCACGGCCTACAACGCCAACGTCAACCTGTTTGTTGCCGCCCGGTACATCCTGGAGTTCGGCGCGATCGGGGCCGGGTTGACGGGGCAGTACGACATCCAGGTCTTACTCCTGTACAACTACGTGGGTCCGTTTGGGATCTTCAACATACTGATAGAAGTGATCTACGTTGTCTATTTGTGTTACTCAATGTTCAAGGTTGGTCAACTCTATTTTTGTTCTTTCTTTGTATTTTGATTTCGTAACACTTGTATACTTATTTTTTTGTGAAGTTGCATGATCTTGGATGTACAGAGAACGAGTTTTTTCAATTTCTATTGTCGGGCATGGTGTAGGTTACTACATGTAGACACTTCTCTACTGTTTACCAAGTACATGAAACGTTATGTGCAGTTGATTGGCCAAACCTAATTACTATAAGAGGCGGTTTAAGGACATTATCCAATCAGCAGGGGTCCCGCTCAGCCCACGATTATTGAATTATCTCATTGCATTAAGTCATCATCAGACAGATAGAATATTTGCAGACCAAGTCTAGATCTTTTGACTAGAGCTAAAAAGCCTCAAGTAAGTGTGTTACACAAATTTTTGCAGGAGGGTAAAAGCATGAAAGAGCTTGGTTGTAAGAAGTATTTCGCGGATCCTTGGAACATGTTAGAGATTCTCATCATCCTGGGATCTCTGATCTCCATCGGCTTCTATGCAACTAAAACCATCATTACATCCTTTACCCTGTCTTCAGTACAGGCCTCTAGAGGTGAGTGTGACTTAAAGTTTGTTGTTGTTAAGTACTGATCAGTAGTACTTCAGGGAACGGAAGTATTGTTTTGGGTTTCTGAGTTGTGCATTTTTGTCTTAAGTAGCGATGGGAGGGTGGGATATGATTTTTTCAGCTGATTGACAGGTAGGCCAAACCTGAAATGAAAGAACGTACTGTGGTGGGAATAAGTGGGCAGTATACATGTATGGAGGAATTCAGTAGGTGGTGTAATACCCACCACAGTTCCAGTGTGGAAATGCAAAACAGCAGACAGAGGTCTGTGAACCCAAAATACTTCAAATTCCGCGGAAGTCTTTGTAAGGAAGGGTTCTACATTTCAACGGATTCACTTCTATTTTCTTCAAGTCATGTTTTATGTCCTTGATTTTATAATTATGTTGTGTTCGCAGACGACTTCGTTAGTTTCCAGAGCGCCATCACCTTCCACTCAGCCTACAGCTTCACGCTGGCGTTTGTAGTCTTTCTCTCCACGCTGAAGTTCATGAAGCTTCTCAGGTTCAACAAGAAGATCTCCATGTTGTCCGCGACTGTCCGCCACAGCAGCGCCATGATGGTTCCCTTCGGGTTCCAGTTCGGGCTGGTCGTCTTCGCCTTCGTGCATTTTGCCTCCGTCGCGTTTGGTGCCAATTCACTATCGTAAGTATACTTTATGAAATAAAGGTTAAAATATAAGAGCCCGGTCACGTACATCGTACGATCCCAAACGGAATTCATTCTTTGGATAGTCGCGCAAGTGTCTTCAAATTTTAGCTGTCCTGTTACAGGAAAGGTTCCTTATCCTTCTGGGTGTTTTTTCTGCCTGCTTAAAAATGCAACAATTACCTAGCATTTATCGTCATTGGGGAATCCCCCTTTTCACGCAGTCTTTAGGAAACTACGTAAATCACGAGAAACATGTATACGTTTGTATACCACATATATCAGGGCACGTGAATCAGGCCATGGATGTCCTCCATTTACGTACGACATTCGCACGACGATCGCACAACGTATGTGAACAATCCCTTAACGGCAGTGAAGAAATACAGTGTAACACAAATGTTGCTTTACACCGCATACCACTACGACCGTCTTTTTCAATTTAAATATTTTGGGGCACTGGAATACAAGAAAAGACACTAACGCTGATGGCATTTGAACTTTTACAGATACACCAGTGTTATGGGAAGTTTCCAGACCATTTTCTCCATGCTTCTGGGGAAGTTTGACCACCAGGAGCTGGCACAGCTACACTGGCTGCTCGGGCCCGCCATGTTTATCGTGTTCATGATCGTCGTGTTCCTGATCATCATGAATATCTCCTTCACCATCATCAGTGAAAGCTTCGCCGAGGTAATTTTCTAGACAGAACATAGAATGAATGTTCATGCCCATTACGTGTACTTTTCAGTATCAGTATCTTCAATGTTTATATGAAATGTGATGTTTTTTAATTTTCAGGTTCAGAAGGACATCTACAACCAGGAGAATGACTATGAAATCCTGGACTTCGTGCTGAACGGACTGAAGAAAAGTCTCCGGCTGGTGAAAAGTATGGTCGTGGCGATAGACGAAGATGAGGGCAAAGGTAGGATTTATAGAACATCTTCGTGTAATGTTTGATAGTCCCGGAAGTATTGTTTTGTGTGAAGCTGGTTTTAAGGGGATTTTATGTTTGGATTCCAGAGTTACAACGATGGTGTAATAGTCGAGTAAGTTAAACCATACAAGCAAATATAGCAGTGAGTGGGTGGAGATTGGGTTTCGGTTGATTGACGGTTTTGTTTCCCATGAGTATGTTCTGCGTCTTAGACTGTGGTCGTCAGGAATATGCACTTTGTAGTCATGGTATAAAATAAAACCCAGAGTTTAACTATGGATTAAAGTTGTGTCACAAAGTTGTCTGCAGCTCGTTGTATAAATCAGATCTGGGTGAGTCCAATATTTTTTGTGTTCACCATTACAGTTCAGTCTTGTTTCATAATGACTTCTACCAACACAGATGAACTCTCAAGATCAGATGTACATTCATTAACACAAACCATATCTACTTCCTGGAAGTTTGAAATCTCCAATTTCCTGTTTGCCTTTGCTTGCAGATCCTGTATACATCGAATTCGAGCCAGAATGTATCGTGGAGCGGTCGAACCAGCTGTACCGCTCAGTTATCCGTCTGTACGTGAAGGAAGGGTTTGAGGAGGAGGACACAGAAGCCGTCTTACAGGAGATGAGGTAGGTCTGCTGCACTTGGTTTTGGAGAAAACTGATTCCTTTAGTGTCATACAACAAAATGAGATTTGTGGAACACAACATCCACTCTTACAGGCATCAATGTTACATTACATGACTTTTGTACTTGTACACACTTGTTCCACCATATTACAATATCATGAAACGGTATACATAATCAGGGAATATGAGCTGCTGTGGATAGCTATGGTCATTTCGGTGGATATGGAGGTACATGTGTTGTTTTGGGTGACCGAGTTAAAGGGTATTACTGTTTGTTTGAATTGATCCTGGGTTTTCATGGCGGATGAGATGTGATTTTGACAGTTGATTGACAATGAAGTCACACCAAGGTGACACAGCATGCGCCTTCATCAGAAACTGGTGTAATACCCGATCCCGTCCACTGTTCCCAAAACACTTCCTGGAGATCTTTTAACTTCGAAGTCACGAAAATCCGAGGAGCTTTCCTTGGAAAATCCATTTTTTCCGGAAGTCTGAAATCTCCGATTTCTTGATGGGTACATGACTTGTTTATCTCTACAGTGATTTGGGGATCTCCGTTGATGACTTGGCTCTGTCTGTGATGCGGGAACATCATAACCAGGTGGGACCCGGTGGGTCCATAAAGCTTCAAGTCTACCGTGAAGACATCGGTGTGGAGTGGCGTCCAGAAGTCAACTCAGCCGGGGAACGTGTCTTCGTCAGCCGACCCTGCGATAGCAAATGGACGCTGAAGGAAACTTGCAGCAACACAACAAAGGTGACAACCAGGAAAGCTGACAAGACAGCCTTTTTGGGTGGCAAAGTGGGTAAAAGCGTCACTTTTGATGACGTTTTCAATTCCAAGGAATCGCCATGTCGTCAGACGTCACCACCCGTACGGAAGAAACAGAACGGTAAAGACTCGTGGTACATCCCTGGACCAGGCTCTCCAGACAACATCGACGTTGTCCATAGCAACAGTTACCAGGCAACGGCGGGTTTCACCACCCCAGCCGCCTCAAGCAGTCGTGCACTCCTGTCCAGGGTCTCTACTGCAGCTGAGAGGAAAGCCCCCGACAACACTGGGTTTCCAGCCGCGGCCGTATACGTTCAACCTGACGACAGTGCATCAGACGAGCAGATTTTGAGCGGCAATGACCACGAAGTAGAAAATTCCATATTTGACCTTCCAACAGACGAGAGCGATCACCTCACTCCGGCTGTCTACGTAGCGCCCTCTCACGACGATGGGTGGCACGACATGTTTGATCAACTCACCGACGACTGCAGCGGAACAGTCGAGGAACTGGACGTGGTTCCCGCGGGTGAGGTGGGGTATGTGACCGGCAGAGATGGCGGAGGGACGCCGGACATGTGGTACTCTGTGCCCGGGGAGGAGAACCGCCAATCTGCATCTCAAACCTTTGACCTCAATGACTGGGATGGACTGTGAAACTATCCACAATTGTTAAGAAACGTTTGTTCTCAAGGAATGGGAAAATTATCAATTGTTACCTCCGTGAAAACAGAGGTTGGTTTGACTGTTTGTCTGTATGTATGTTTGTGACGTCTGTACAGTTGAGTGACAGCACGTGGGCGGGGGATCCATTACCACAAACCACAAAAGGTCAGGCACCGGAAGTTATATCATGAGGTCTTAGAAAGACCCAGAAACTGGCCAGGTTGGCCCTAGATTAGAATGGTAGAGGACAACAACATGTTCTATTGCATGTACATGTCTCTTTATACCTCACTTGTGTATCATGTCCAAGCTTTAAAACAAACTATAAGATGTTACAGTGTTTCACAATTCACTAATTCAGTGATATAATTTAAACTTAGGCAAGAACTGCCTTGTGTACCGTGAAAATGTTAAGTTGTTTGTGGTTTGTATATAACAACGAGTCAAAGTTGCGACGAAGTCGTCTGGAGGCATCATATATATCCCTTCATTTGTCACAGAGGCGACAGAATTGAGACGAATACTATGTACGTACATGCGCAAGTAGTGTTTGCATGGTGCTTATGCGTTGAGCAAAATAACGTGAGACTAAGTGATGTTATTCTATAATAACTGTGAAAGATGATTTGAATACAGTTAGACATAGAATAAAATAAACAGAATGTTGCACAAGCTTTTCTCAAATTGTTTTGTTTTTGTCATAACTGTCAAATTAAAGCATAAATTTTCGTAATTTCGGAATAATTATGGGGATTCGGAAGAATATCCAGAACCGTGCCTTTTTCTAATCCTGACCCGTTCAGGTATAAAACTAGATAGGCACGGTTCTGGATACAATAAGACCTGAGGCACACCGGACTATTAAAGGTCAATGACCGTTGTTGACAAAGTGCTTACTGCACCCTGATAACCAAGTACTCGTGACAAGCACGCCCCTTTTCAAAGGCCACAAGCGACTCAGTCTTTCTACAAAACAACTGACTTATACTGTCGAAATGACTACTCTAACAGGCCTGACGGTCCTAGTGGCCCTGCTAGGATGCGCGCTCTCTGCCATGCCTATTTCTGACATTAAGCGCTGCCAGTATACCGGTATGGACGGCCACATGTACGATCTGTCTCCATTGATTAAGTAAGTATTACCAAGTGTATTGTATTCATATCCGTACCTATCTACTATACATGTAGTTCTATGCTTGAAAGTGTCACGGTTCTGGATAGTCTCCACGTATCCAAGAACGTAGATTTACATAGTTCTGGATCATGTGACATGTGGACTATCCAGAACCGTGCTTGATCATGAGCACAGTTCTGGATAAACACGGTTCGGGATACAACATACGGGTTTTGTATATTCTCAAAGTTCAATACAGTTTATCAAAATATTTTTTTCCATTGAATGCTATCAACATCAATTCCTCATAGAGTAATAGAAAAGAAGCTTGGCACATTTATTAGATATAAGTGTGCATTTCGTATGTATCTAATATTCCCTTTCTTGGTTTTATTTATTTATTCAAAATTGCAACATGACAATACAAAGTGTGCACTAGGCAGCAAGTATGCTGATAGCGTGCACACCCAACACATACCTGTACATATGACGTAAAAAACAACAATAAATAGTTAAAGCAAGATATATACACAAATATACAATTTTCATATAAATTACACCTATTCTTGGTTTTGCCACTGATGATATATCTCTATCCATTTCAGAGGTGATGGGTACTACTCCTTCTCTGTCCAAGCCTACGAGATCGACAGTTATAACATCTACTCGCCCAAGGGAAGCGAGGCCGACCCGCTGACGTATCAGTACTACCTGAACGTCTGCCGTAACGTCACCAAGCCTCCCGACGCCTGCAAGACAACCGCGCCGATACTCGTGGTACGTAAGGGTCCAGCGACAGGTCTACGACAGTCGTGTGTTTGTCGCACAAATTTCAGTTATGCTGTGGTGAAGACTGTGGTCATATCGTTGCTCAAAATATCATAACAATAACTTATATCGTACGTCGAATTTGACCGCATTTTTACCACTAATTAAGAGGCATCAAAGAATAAATTGTAACACAAAATGGGTTGTATTTTCAGTGTACATCAGTTTTGGCAATATTTTTCCTGAACCTTTTTTGTCTGACTTTATGTGTTTTCTCTGTGTATACGTACATTAGGTTAATCCTGATGGAACCTGTACAGCTTTGGGCAACATAAATGCTGCCATATTTGACGCGAACCCTGGTGCTGACGGTGAGTTTCTGTCACTTTTATTTAATGTTGACAGGGGGCGCTATTGCCGTTGTCAACTCAAAGCGTATATTATATAATCAAATGTGAATAGTATTGTTTTGGGTGGCCTGAGTTGTGTGTATGTGTCTTTTAATGTCCCAATAGCTTCGACTACATGTTGAATGGGAGGTGATTTTGACAGTGGATTGATAGGGAGGTCACACCTGAAGGGTGGGTGTAAGTGGGTGGTACATGGAGGAATTCAGGAAGTGGTGTAATACCCGATTGGGCTTTATCATGCCCCCCTCCTTTCTAATACATTCAAGAAAAACTAAAACACTTCTCGTAGGTCTGTGACGTTGAAGGTCACAAAAGCCTAAAAATACTTTGTTTTTGCACTGTTTCTTTTTCTTCCTCTTCTTCTCCAAACAAATAAGGTCAATGACCTGAACCAGACGTCTGTCACCATGGTAACTAGTGTTGGGTTACATCATGTTGCCATTGTATAGCATCATATATATATATATATATATATATA